CCCCACCCCCCTTCCGCGAACAGCCAGGCCAGAAAGACCCAGAGGGATCAAGGGCTCAGGGCAGAAGGTCGCCGGTGCCGCCAGCTGGACGCCTCGGTCCGGTCCCAGAGCCCCGCTCTGTGCTCTCACCGACCCTCCTCTGACCAAGGGGTCCTCCGCGAAGGGGTTCCCCGTCTCTGAAATCCGCACCTGAACTGGCGCCTCCCGCAGCCTTGCCTCCAGGCCGGTGAGGCGGCAGCTGGACGCTAGGTTGATGGCACTGGCGCCCACCGCCTTGGGCCCGCGGCCCCGCGCAAAGTGAGGTGGGCGCGGGGGTCCAGGGCATGCAAACAAGCCCCAACGAGGTGTGCGCCGAACACGTCCCTCCCCGTCAGAGGCACGGGATGCTAATGACCTCATTAAGATTCAGATAACGAGTGCCGCCGGCAGAAGGGAGGACTCGTTTTTTTAAAGGCCAGGCACTAAACAGGGGGAGGGGCTGCGCCCTTGTTTACACGGCGGCAAATGAGCCAATTAGGGGCTGGGGGCGGGGGCCGGCCGCAGAGGCCACGGCCTGGCCAGGTTCGCAACCACCTGGTGAACCGGCTCTGGGTCCGCCTGGGCGGGGCGGCGGGGCGGAGCGAGGCGGGGCGGTGCCCACAAGCACCGCCTCCTCGCCGAGCTGGGCTCCCGGCCGCCTCGATTTCCAATTATTAATAAAGACACCAGAGGTAGCACCGGTCACCACAGCTGCCGGGCTTCCGCGGGCGGCCTGGCGGAGGGTGACCCGAGCCTGGGGGTCAGAGCGTCCCAGCACGGCCCAGCCTTCCATGGGAGAAGGGGGCGCCCCTCCTGCATTTGCAAACGTTGCAACCCGTTCCCCGGCCAGGAACTCGCTCTCCAGCGACCCCAGGCACCCCCCTGACCGTGGGCGAACCCAGGGGAGTTCCGTCATGCCTAGGGGCCCGGGCCGGGGCCTGACTCCAAAGTTGCGTGGCATTGCAACAGCCTGCGTTTTAATTCTTCGGGGACCCATTATGCAACATGGCATCAGCCGCTGACACGGTTACAGGGTGGTGAACTCCCAGGTGGAACCGGGGCAGGAACCCTTCTCGGCGCCCCCCTGCGTCGCGGGAGAGCAACTTCCCCGCGGGTCGCTCGCTCGGAGAGTCTAGAGTTTACAGTTTTAGCGCCAAATGCGGCGCAGGAAATAATGCAAAATAAAAGGGGGAGGGGGGATGGAAGGCAGCGGGGTGGCCGAGCTCCTCGGACTCCGGCCATGCCTCTCCTCCTCGCCCGCCCTCCCCCCCTTCTGTCCTCCCCGAAACAGAGAACCACAGCCACCGGCCGTGGATCCAGCTGCAGCAGCTGCAGCGTGACAAACATCTGTGCGCACGATGAGCCCCTCCACCACCAGGCAGCTCCCCTCCCACACCCTTTGGGCCAAGCTCCCCCTGCCCCAAGGACGGGGGCGACACCCAGCGAGGAACCCAGTGGGGGGTGTGAAGGGCACCCAGCACCAGACAGGCTCTACCCCCTACTGATCCCAAGCTCCCTGGGGGGTCGAAGGTCGGGAGCAGGGTGGTTAAGGCCTTGTCAATTTTTCTCCAGTCCCCAACAGGTTAAGTGCAGTTCCCTGACGTCCGGCGGTTTCACAAGGCCAGCTCCCTTGGAGCTGCCCCGAGAGGTGCTGGTGCCAAGCGCCCAGTGGCTACAGCAAAGCAGCACCTAGGCTCCGGGGGTGCGTTGAGAGGGGGGCCCGCGGGGGGCCAGAAGCAGCCTCGAGGTCTCTGGGCAGCGGCAGGGCCACCCGAACGCACCCTCCTCGCAGTTCCCCCCAAAACACCAGCC